TCAGAGGTTCCATATCACACATAGATGCAGCAGTCAAAACATGCAGTTGTACCATCAAAGAGACGAAAATAATTTTAGAAGGTAAAATTAATCAGGCCACACAATCAGTCAAGAAGAAAAGGCCTGTATTTTAAAAGAAGAAAATAATGTAGTGAACAATCCAGAATACTCAAGTTATAGGTTAAAAAAAGACAAAACTAAAAGGCAAACACTGAGTTCAGTTTTAACATCACTTCATGCTTTTGCTCTCTTTAACAGTAAATCCATGTTTCACTGCTTGCCGTTTATTTTGAACACATTATCAAGCTGGTTCAATAGCTACCTTTTACTTTGTAAAACCTTTTCTATTATAATTATTCCAATCCAAAGCAGCTGGTCAACATTTAAAGTGTTTAATCACACTTCATACAAAAGATACGCTAAGGAATATTGAACATGTTACCTTCCACATGGAGCAAAAAAATCACATACAAGAGAAAACTCAGCATTCTGGGTCTATAAATGCCCAGAAGTCATTAAAAGCTTTCCTCATTTGTCCCCATCTCGTTCTGTCAGAGACATATTTCTAGCCAAGAGAAGACACTAATGAACATTCTGTATAAGTGATTCCCAATGTTCATCAGGCATAAGTAAGCTAAGCAACAATCCATACTTCTTTCTTCCAAGAACACTTAAAAACAATAATACCCAGAAACTACAGAACTTGCCAATATTGTCCTTTAGAGACTATGATACAAGATGAAAGCCAAGGTCTTTAAGCAGCTGCAAAAATACACTTTCTTTGCCTAAATATAGAACAAACCTGAGTATTTACAATTTTTTTAAAATCTCAGCTTTTGTTTATTTCATAAGGAATATATTGGCAGCAACCTTACAGCACTCTCCCTAGTGCTGCCTCATAGCCCTCTTAACCCATGCACCCCAGAGATAAGGCCTCCCCCTCCTTCCCCCCATTTTTCTTCCTCTTCCTAGTGTTCTGACTCCCATTACACAATCACAAGTCTTTATAATGGCAGTGCCAGTCCCTGCATCCACTTAATTCCTACAGGCACCCTGGGGAAGTAATTTCCAACCAACCTTACAGAGAGGAAAGGCTACCCCCGTCTGGTAATCTGGCTCTTTTTAGGTCCATCAGTTCTTCAGTGCCTTGCAGGGGTTTACCAGGAACAAGACATAAGTGTCTCACATGGAGAATTATCAGCAACCAGCCCTCAGTACCATTGTAAAACACATTACCACATTTCAAAGCAATGCTACAAGTAGTACAGAAGAGTGCTCTCCTATCATTTTTGTACCAAGCTACTGAGGATTAAGTAAAAAGTGCTAAATACTAACATGGTAAAAAGGTAATTAACATGCTAGCACACCTGTGAGAACTGTTTTTTGCTGAAACCCACAGAAAATAAAGAGAATTGCCCTCCAATTTAAATTGGTGTCATTTTCTCTGGCAACAAAAAATGGATAAGAACTGCTCGTGGCAGCTTTTGCAGTCTGCACCTGCGTGATTACTTTTTAAGGAAAACTTTGGTTTCTTTTTTGATCTGTCTTTTGAAGTGTTAGTAGAAAGGTGAGAACAGAAATGAACTAGTCATACTGAAGCTCTGAGCAGGGCAGAATGTATGAGGCCACTTCAAGTACAAGATAAATAGACTGAGCTGGACACCAGCCAGTTCAAATAATTCACAAAACCCGATTGTCTGCCTGCAAAACAAGACCTTTCCTCAGTTCCTCTAGGATATTTTCAGCTTGATTTTTTGCTTTATCTGCTCTTGACATATAAACAGTTCTAAATGCTAGATTCCTTCCTAGATGCTGAAGAAGATTTAATCAGCAACACATACAGTTTGGATAGTTACCTTCATTTTTGTCTTGCTCTCCCATACCTTTCCTACATCTGCCATCCATACCCATTCAACTTCTCTCTTTTTCTCTTCTAAAAGCCTTTTATTCTTCATTGTCTAACCTGCTGGAAGGCAACACTGGGGAACAATTTTACATGTACTCTGTATGCAACCCTTTTCCCTTAAAGCTAAGTTTTTCCGAAAGCAGAATCCAGAGAGCAAGTGTCCCTTGTTAGACCAACTTGGATTCCCTCTGCCAGAAGTAAATAAGTGTTATACTTCATTTACACCTTCAGCTACATTTCATATCCTTACAAAATTGTAGGGAAATTACTACAATTCAAATTTAAGCCAGGATTCAGTTTCAGGACAATTAGTAAAATAACCATTTTAAATACCTAACATTTCAGGTAAAAGTATTTTGTGGGGAAATCAGTCAGCGAAAATGAGATATCATGGGTTAAAAAAAAAAAAAAAGGCACATCTGACAAATCAGAAAGCATACCATGAACACATTATCAAGGCTTTCTTCAAAACCTGGAGCTCAATTAGTTAGCAACAGACCTTGTTTAGGTATTCAGAAAAGAAACAACTAAGTACATTGATGCTTGTAACCAGATACCTATATATCAAACTTCTAAGCACTAACAATACCTAGAAAGCACACTCTGCTTGCTAGAGTGAATACTTCCCATCAGCTTCCCTATTGCCAATGCATATGAACCACATTTTCATTTCAGATGATTTGGATATTGTGGTTATTTAAAGTCATTTTGAGCAAGAATAAAGCAGCATTGCTGCTGAAAGAAGCAATACTATCCCTTCCTTGTTTGCAGTCACTTGTACCATCCCCTTCCTTGTGCCGATATGAACATCTGTTATATGTTCAGATAAAAACAATTTTTATCTGAAATTATTTGTTGATACTTTTTCTTCTTCATGGCACAAGGGATGACAAGCAGATAAAATACAGGACAGGACTACTACTTTATGTGGCACTGACAGTTTAAAGTGACAGTAAAACTACACTGTAAGGTAAACCTTGATGACATCATGCCAAAGTAATTACTTAACATATCACTCCTCAAATGTATTTGTAAGTGTTCGTGAGTTTCTTATAAGTGCGTGGTTAACAACCGTGAGTACACATGTTAGACATTTCCATGGTAAGCATACCACTGAAATCATGACCCTGATGAACACAGACTTTTGACAATGTTTTCTGCGGAACCTGTTACTAAAGTCTTCTAGCTTGACAAAGCCTCTTCTCTTCTTGCAGATCAAAACAAGCAAGAGCCTTCTTGCATGAAGACTTCCTAAATTTTCAAGGCCTCATTTATCTAGTAATTTTCCCTCATTTTTAAAATTGCCATATATACAGAAAAAAATAAGCTATTCCCAAGATATTCCATGTACATAGCTGTGAAATCTAGGATTTCAGTACCTACAAAATAAATTCTCATAAGAATACAACAAATGTATTTAATATTTTATATCATGCTTTCAGCTTCAATACTTAATACTTTTCCCTTAGAACATTTACCCTTTGATTACATTGAAGTATTGGAAAAACATGGATGCCCCAGAGCCAAATGAAATCTTAACCTGGATGTTTGTGGGGCGGGGCGGCAGCTGGAAAGAGGTAGGTACAAAGCAGAGCTGCTGTAAGTACTTCTGAAACATGCATGAAACCATGAGGGATGGTAAGATGGCATTGACACTGCAACTTTTTTGTCCCTTTCCTCAGCAAATCCACCCCTTCAATCACACACAGTACTCCTGACTGAAAGTTCCTATGTACTGCAGTAGAAAACACCTTAACAACCTAGCCATTTCAAAACTTCGGTTGTTCTTATTGTTCCAGCAGAACAGCAACCAATGTAATTCAGAGTCCAGTTTCCATTACTATTGAGCCTCTTCCCTTAACATTTCAGTTATATACAAACGGCAAAATCATTATCCTAGAGAAAGCTCCAAGTCCAAATTGTGACACTGTTTAATTTGCATACAAGCTAAACTAAAAACATTTTTATAAAATCCTAATGAGTTCAGTAAGTGGCAACTGATTATAAACTGGAAAAAGTTTAGAGAGCAAATGGCTGTAGCCACTCTCCAATTTGCAGATTTACTACAGACATCTGGTTTCTAAACAAGGCAGCACTCACAAGAAAACTTAACCAAATAGGTTCACTGTTTATCCCCAGCATTATTCTAGCTGACAGTGCTATCTAGAAAAAAGAAAAAGTATGAATATGAAAGAGAAATGTAAATCTGAATATACTCCCAATAGATTTTATTGCTACATACTTTTTAAAGACTCAAAAAAGCTACTTTGTAAACTTTCAAGTTGGTCATCTGGCTCCCATTTGTACTGACTGCCAAAAATACATAATGAGGAAAAGTATGGGGGAGGAAGAAATGCATTAGAAATCCAGAAAACTACTGCTTGTAGTTCAGATGAAAACTCTACACCTGGACAGTGTTTACTAAGTTATCTACACAACTGACACAGAACTTTACTCAAAACAAGTATTTATTGTGAAACCAATTTTTCAATAAATTGTCTAACAAGTCACTCAATGAAGCATTTAGACATGAATTAATTGTCTGAAAATCTCAACACACACACACAAAGTTCTAAAAAGTATTTTTTCTTTCCAGAACCATTCAGACTGAAAAGTTTCCATTTCATACTTAGGTGAAACTTCTCTAAACATATACAACTTGTAACGAAACATTTTATTACTCATAAAATGTGACTAATATAGTATACGTATGTTTTGGCTCTACCTCTGTCTCAGTCAGAAAGCAGCTGCTTTGTCTCTTAGCTAAACCATTACACAAAATGGATAACACATGCCTTGTTATAGACCTCTAGTTGCACAATTATTATTTGATTTACAGAAAAAGCCTTAGCAATTTTAAAGAGTAAATCGTCACAAAGCAGAAGGCTACCATTTTAACAAGTAATATCAGAAGTAGGATGAGCTAGACAGACTTAACATTTACAAACGTTATTCAAAGTACAACCCCCCTGCTCCAGGATATTACCTCTTACCCTAGGGAAAGAATGCTGGCAAAGGATTTTTTACCCCATGGAAAGCACTTTTAAGACTGTCAAACTTTGAGAGGGTATTCATTTCAACAATTTGGATGTAATTCATAACTTTAGCCTTTTATCAATCTACTTTAGGTTAACCTATAGATAAGAATATCTGGTTTTATGACAATCACAGAAGAACTTTGGATCTGCTAAAACGGTAGGTGGACTTTTTTCCTATATTAACCTAAAGCTTAAATAAAACACTTAATTACAGTAAACAGGAAAAAATGCAGTGTAAAGATTTATTTTAAAAAGTATTGCATGTGTATTTAAAATGTTTTAAAGATTATGTTTGTAGCCTCCTCCCCCTGCCTGAAAAGTGTACAACCTGTAAAATATTGAGGGGGTGCTATCTTCTCTTGTTTACTTTCAAATGTAAAGACAAAGACAATGAGAGTTTACTGTTATAGAGCATTTAGGTTTGAAAACCATTATTTTGACAACCAAGAAAAATGCATTTGAATCTCTCTCGTTTTAATTAGTTCAGCCACATACATGCCAAATGTTTCATAAAATGCTTTACAAAATCCTCTTGCTGTTAACAAAAATAACACACTGGGAAACAAGCAAATGCAATTAAGAAAATATTTTCCTTATTAGTTGGAAAATGTTGTTTATTATTTCCCAGTTTCTTTTCCTGTTAAGAAAAGTTTTTATAATGCTAGAGTCTAATTAAAGGATATCAAGAGTTAAAAGTTGTTCCATGTTCCTTATGCGTTAGAAACCCCTGCCAACTAGTCCTCTAGGCTTTAAATATTGTTTTGACGGATTGCATTTTCATTTCCAGTCACAAAGAAAGTATTCTCCATAGTTAACACACGAGCAGATCTTCACCAGCTCAGTGAAAGCCAGATACATTGTTCCATGCAAGAATGAAGACTTTGCAGACTACTTTTTTTTTGTTTGTGTTTGTACCTTTGGTAAATTCAGCACCACCTATACAGCAAGAATCACTCCAGTTTTATGAGTATGATACAGATGTTACCATGGGAAGCCTGATCCAACAAGATTATGAAATGCAATCCAAGGATTTACGAAAGGTATTTTATTTATATTATCAGTTTAATATTTTTAACTGCTAAGCATTATATGAATAAGGTGTTACATGCATGTTTGCAAGTTTTATTGAAAAGTCTTATAATAATAGCAAAACATACAATGGTTTCAGACATTGGGAAAGCCACTCAAATTAAAATCACAAAAATACTACCCTTGCTACAGTTTGAGAAACCCACAAAAGATAGTCTTTCACAAATAAAGAGTAAAGCATCCTTTTTAACTCTGCTGTAGTTATGTGCCTACTGTTGTAAGAGTTTCAAGAATGTGATATACTAGCTCAACAGTTTGAGTAATGTTGTATTAAGACAGTAAGTTTGTTTAAAAACAAGGATGATGTTACTTAGGTTTGTGTTTTTTTTTTTTTTACGTATCAAAGTAATACTTGAAACAGTACTTTTTATTGGACATAACCTGCCAGCATAAACCACAGTTTCTCTTTTGACTTACCAAACTATCAAATTTTTTGCCTTGGTTTTTCAGGGGTGGGTTGTTTGGGTTTTTTGCAACTCAACAGTTCAGCAGTCCTGAACTACTACAGAATATCCAGTCCTGCACTAGTCACCTACATTAACACTTTGAGAGTCTTGAAGGTAGCAATAAAGATAATACCTCACGGCACTCACCAGCACCCCCAAACGATCAATTCTGAACTTTTTGCTGCATGCTCCACATACACGCCTGTTAATTTAAACACTTAAGCAGAAGACACAAAAACAGAGAGTTAAACGAAGTACAACAGCCTCAGCTGACAGGGACAGTTAAAAACCTCCTACCTCTGTTCAGACTGCCTCTGACAGGACCTAAATGATATACATCAAGAGAATGAGATACAACATTGACCAGGCAGATGGAAGAAAAACTAACAGTGATTGCCCAAAAACTAGTTGCCAAGGAAAATACCACATATACAAACAAAGCGGGAACAACCGAGTATTAATAAATCCAAGGAAGTTTTCATTAACTGTACTTGTTACAATAATTTAGTAAGATAAACAAGAAAAAAAAGACGACAGCAAAAGTTAATTAGTATAAGTAAAAAATTGCAGCACATGTATAGAAAAATTACTTCTGTATACCTTTTTAATATTTTCCCAATTCTACTTATATTATAGCTTTCCACTGTTAGACTAAAAATAGCAGCTACATATTTACAGTCAAAAACGTCTAAGGTATTTTTAAATCTGATATCTGCCACAGTGATGAAGTAACACATTTTCATAAACCTGTGAAAAAGAGATCATTTAAATAACTCTTAACTAATAGGTGGCTATCCACTCACAACTGAGTAAGTTTTAAAAAAATACTAAAAGTGTTAACTTTAACTAGTTAGGCACAGCATCAGATGACATTCATTACTAAAATCATTCTAATGAGAATATGCTGTTTCAGTAAAAGAACAATAAGGATTATACCTACAAGGAAATGGTGCCAACAGATGCGCCACAGACTAAAGTCTCTACTGGCAGTGCTATAAACTAGAGGTCTTCCGAAGGCCAACAGTTCTGCTTAGGATAATTCTAGGAATGCAGTCGGTCATTATTTCCATCAGGTCAGTTCTCCAATGACATGTTTTCATTGCAAAATAATAAATTAGTTCCTTATGTGCAACAAATACATCTATACAAGTTCTAGTGTTCCCAGTTTAAACCATGGGATGCACAAACAAACTTTCTATTCATTTATTGCAAGTTCCAACTCCCAGAATATTTCAAGTGTTAACTGTAACTGAAATACATGCCAACAATTTCCTCAAACATGCCCAGTCAGAAATCTATCTTGCATGACAAATTTAACTCCTTACTGTGCACTTGAACACACAGTTAGAAAAAGGATTTTGTGTTAATGATCAACAAAACAAAGTGAACTTCAGCCTACCACTAAGGAAAAGGTTAGCCAAGCAAAATGTATTACAACGATTACCATTTGAAACCACAGCCTCCTGAGTCTTGAATAAAATATTAGAAGTTTAAAAACATGAAATCTTAATTTCCACAACAGAACCATCCAATTAGACACTGTCTCGTATCTGGACTAATTAATTCCATTTAATATAAACTATCAGCTTTATAGACCTTTGTATGCTATAAAGATGAATCAATTACTTTGCAGAAGTTTTAAGATGGTTAAAGTATTTAGATGTAAAATGTTAATGTGGTTTTGTATGGGTAATTCATGTCTGTGGAGTAAAGTGCAAGAGGCAGGTGGAATTTAAGTATGTAAGTAGGCCAATATTCCTTCAGTGCATTCCTTACATATGTAATTAATGAACTTCCTGTGGTTATAATCCAAACAATGTTCTGCACTGATACTCCACAGCTAGGAGTTTTTATAGCTGACCAGGAAATACTTCCAATATATTGGTTATTTATACTTTTTTGTTTTGTTTTGTTGGGGGGGGGAATCTGTTGTTTAATTTTGTGGATTTAATGGTATTCTGAAAATAATAAGTTTTAATTTTTGTTGACATTTCCCACTTGCAGAAATTAGTCATACATTGTATTCTGCAAATGCATAGTCTTTCATAGATCACATCTCAAGTAGGGTACTGTACTAGAAATCTACACCTGGTACAGATATGCTGTGTCAGCAAACATGTTTTTCATACAAGCATATTAAAAGTGTCCTTTATGAGACAAATAAATACAACAATAGAAGTGCAGTTGTTCTATTGTAAGTCCACGTACACAGAAGTCTCTACTGGCATGGATACCTCAGTCAAGGACCATGTCTTCACATACCTAATCAACATATCTATGCAAGATAAACAGTTTTGCAGAAACCTTCTCTAAGATTTGCTGCTTGAGTCTAACTGTTCAGCTCATACCTCCCAGCTTCTCTACACCCAACACTGCAAAAGCTCTTGCCTTACACAGAAGTTTCATGCTGCAACTGCTAAACTGTTGCCAGCATTCTAACTTGGGTATAGAAGTCTTACTAGAGCAAACGAACGTATCCCAAACAAGAGAGCCATAGCCTGGATAGACAGATGCAGGGAAGAGCCAAGGGATGGATGATTCACAGGCTAAAAAGGGGTCAAAATGACAGAGGCTAGCCAAGATATTTCTATCTCAGGCTTTATGTCAAGCTTGAGGGTTTTACTTTGTGGAATACAAAAATTCCCACAGTAAAGTATATACAAGCAACCAAATACTAAATAAAACAAAGCTTGTATCAAAAGTAACTTGACAGATGGCGTTACTTTCACACCACTCTTGTGGAAGAACTATCTATCTGTGTGCTACATGCCTGAATGGGGGGGCAGAGGGGGAAGAATTTAAAAAATAAAATAAAATAAAATTGATTTACTTGTGAGCACTCGCAGTGCATAAGAAGCTCTCTTCAACAGGGGACCATACTCCTGCCAGGTCCTGATCCTTAAGCACGTTTAAAGAAAAACATCTTCCACACCCGATAATGTACTTTTCTCCATGTGTTTTCAATAGCCACACAGACCAAAAAGCATATTGTCTTACTCTGTCCTACAAATATTCCCCATCAAAAAAGACAACAAATTATGCTAGCCAAGAACAATTGCCACAGTCATCATAAAAAAAACCCTTAACTTTAATACATGCAAATCATAGTATAACCCACTGTACATATACTGTAATTCTAGAAATAGTATGTAATTCTCTAAAATTCCTACGGTGTTCAATGAAAACTTGACTACTATTTTCTGCATCACAAAAGGCCCTTTCTGTTAGCAGCCCAGGTCTTAAAAGAGACTTAAGTGCAGTTAATGGAAATGAATTGCTAAATTTCAGCCAATACCTAAAAGCAACATGTTTATAAACTAAGTTGTCCTGCAATTGAAAAGATGCAATGACTATCTCAACATGGAATTCTGAATAACTTTAAATGCAAGAAAATGTTATTTTACTGAGATTATTTGGGTAAAACAAAAACCCCACAACTTATATTCACAAGAATCCTATCAAATTTTGCATGATATGCCAAATCTTCTGATTTCAGAACTCCAGGTTTTTGTAGACACCCATCTTACATATTCCTACCCCACCACACAGTCTATATTCTCTCTCTATTTTTATTTGTGTCTACTGTTCTTTCCTACAGAACTTACTTTTCTAAAGAACAATAGCAACACCACCTTCCCTTCTTGCCTTTCAAAGTGAATAGCTAATGTACAAAAGGGGTAATACATACTCTTGTACGCTGGATGACTGATGTGATTTTAAAAATTAAATGTCATAAGGAACTATGTTGTAGGAGGTTCATTTTTAAAAGACATGCTATTTCAGATCCTTGTAATACTCTGCGGGTTTTTTGTTTGTTGTTGTTTTTTTTTTAAATAACATTTGCTCTCACACAAAGGATGGAACAAATGTTTCTCTTGACACTTCCCTAAGACTGCAAGGGGATGACAGTGAACGCAATGTACCACCAACAAAGGATACAAGTAAGTTAATTGATATGAATACTGTAACATTTAAGCTCTCCAAAAGAACGTATTTTAATATGAAAATTTAATATACCAAGGATGACGAGGGATATAGAATTAATCTTTTCATTTATGAATATCTTTCATATCTCCTGTGGAAAGTCTTCTAACTTGTGATGGAGCAGGCTGAAAAAATTTAAAGGATTCTCAGGTAAACTCCTAATACACAAAGCACAGCTTTTAAGAATCTCTACAGACTTACCCAGTCATATTTGCTGTAGAGTTGTACCCAAATTATATAAGTTAGGCAAGACAACCAAGAAAAACAAAATACACATGCCAATGAGTTCCATAGTTTAATCAAGTAATGATGGAACATGATGTATTTAAATTACTTAAATAGATTTCTTCAAAGGACTGGCTATTCTTACAGTTTACATCTGATAATCAGGAAGGTCAATGGTTCAAATACATCAGGAACATTCTTCACTAGCCTAAGTTTCCTACAGGCTGTGAGGTATATTGTCCAGATTTCTCCTAATGAGTCACAATGATTTCTAAACTTGAAAGGAACAAAGTTTTTGTCTACTGAACAAAGAGAGCATTGAAAAAAAAGACACATATATTTCAGGTGTATCTGTGATCTAAACTTCCAAAAATAACTGATGATTCAGCAAGACCACTGGAGTGTCAATCTCTACCAAAGGTTTAATCAAGGCTAGTTATTGCCAAATAGCATCTGTCAACAAGCCCCCATCAAAAGCATAACAAATCCGTAAGAACACCAGAGCTTCTAGTCACAGACAAGCATAAAAACTGTTGCCTTTTAAATAGTGACAACATTGTTTCACAATCATTTTCCATTTCCTACACTCTAGCATATGACAAACAAGACACTAAATCAAAAGAGGCAAATGGGGCAGGGCAGAACTGTAAGTCTTACAAATGGTAATACTTACAAAGCTAAAGCTCAAAACCTCAATTCTATTCTATACAGTACCTCTGTAAGAAAAAAAGAATTACTCTATACATACTGGGTTGGCTTCCCAGTATTGCCTGGCTACTTCTGTAACTCTTCACTGGTTGCAGAAGATCCTATTTTACTGCGTAGTGATAATAAACTACCTAGCAGTATGAGACTACTCTCTACTGCAAACAGACCAATTTGGAAGCTAACCAAAAATCTCACAATATAGAAAACACACTAGATCAGATAGCAGTGATGACTAAACTGGATTGAAAGCCATATTCGTTGTATGTATTTTAATATTGCTGTCATACAGGATTAATGCAAAGCAGAAATTACTAATACTCTACTAATGTCTATGAGGAATGGGACAAGCCATAATGGGCTTAAACTGCATTAAAAAAGGTACAGAGTTTCTCTCACTACTTAAAATAACAGCTATAAAAAAAATAGAACAGATTGCCTAAAGTACTTATATAAACATCATTGCTGGAGTTTTTATAACAAGGATTAGACAAAATAGTAGCTAGGAGTAACACAGAGTATACATGACCCTGCCAGAAATGCTCCAATGCAATGTGTGCACTACTAGATGTTTCTCCTGTGTGGATTTCTCTTTTCAAAAGAATGGTTCTAAAGATGACATTTAACATGGCCACAGAGTTCCAGTTGTCATATTCACAATACTCTAAGCCAACTAAAGAACAAAGCTGAATTAAGATCGATTAATAGCATTTCAAAACATGCTCAGATAAGAACAGAGAATATACACAGGAAAATTATGCATAATAGAAAGAATACAAAACTCAAAAAAGTTCAAAATTTTACATCTTTTCAGAACTTGATGGCAATAGATTTTTTTTAAATCTTACAAGATACTAGAGAAAATTCTATTTTGAATGTTCAAGCTTAAGCTAGCTGAATAACTTTTAACTGTCTACTCAAAATAATCTGCTTTCAGATTTACCTACTTGTCTGCTCTGTGTGTGTTTAAGCGGATCAGTGTACTGCGAGGAAATAGACATCGAAGCTGTACCCCCACTGCCAAAGGAAACAGCGTATCTTTATGCACGATTTAACAAAATAAAAAGGATAGCAGTCTCAGATTTTGCTGACATTAGTAAGTAATGTTCAAATCTTAATTTCTGTTTATCTGATAGTATATTTGAAGTTGTTGTCCCTTAATAGTATGCCAAGATTACAAAAGTAAGATAGATTTTACGCTTTGCTAGATTTCATTATGTGTATTACTTATTTAATTCAATGCTTCTATTAGAACAGGAACTATGAAGGCAATATGGAAACCCATTTTGGCTCATGTATTCATCTTAATATTCCCACACAATCAGAGAAAGAGCAGATAGCTAAAAATAAAATTTAACTCTGCATCTCATCCAGTCTTAAATGACCAAGTATTATTTTTCCTTCAAATGCTCCAGGGATATGTCTCCCAGCTATCTTACTCTACAACATGACAAATTCTATGAACATCTGAAATCATGTTGTCTCTAAGGAAAAAAAAAAGGAAGGATTCAGAATATTTTCCTTATTATTATTTTTTTTAATTTAAGACCATGAGGAAATCTAAATGTGGATTTTATTCCTATTTTAATAGTATTTATATTTGTAGATCACAATTAGGATAGTGCAGCCAACAGTGTAACATTCAACATATACAACCGTACATATTTCACAAGCCATGTAATTATAAATTCAGTATTTAGATTTTCATTTCTTTTGTGTGAAGCTACCTTGAGAAGAATTGATTTTAGTGGAAATAGGATAGAAGAAATAGAAGATGGAGCCTTTTCAAAGCTTCTGTTATTGGAAGAACTTTCTCTTGCTGAAAATCGACTTATAAAACTTCCTGTTCTACCTCCCAAACTAACAACATTTAATGCAAATCAAAATAGAATCAAGAGCAGAGGAATCAAAGCAAATGCTTTCAAGGTAAGTAAAAGACAATAATTTAAATAACCAAAGTAAATAAAATTAGTAACCAGACTGTCCAGGATACCACCAAACGAATTCTTCCGTATTTTTGTAATCTAATAAACCAACTGCGATGAAGAAGCTTTCCAGCTTTTGTTTTGGCTTTAAGGCACTTTGGAATAATAGTCCTTTGCACACTCACTCTCGGTCATATAAAAAAAAATTTCTATGAAATATGTTATCTACTTCCATTCTCTCTTACATGCAAAGAAAAACTTGATTCAAAATTGATGGCTCAAATACAGTTCTGAGGACCACATAAATACTAATAAACAAGGGTATAGCTTTAGAGTGGTCTCGAGTTTTATAACAAATAAGCTGGCACTGAAATTTCCAAAACATAGAAGGCCTGCTACTGAAACTCATAAGAGTTTCTTGATACAACAGAATTAAACATTCACAGCAAAAGAATGTTTCATGTTATACCACTTTACAGGCTTTCTATGAGATCAGAAAAAAAATACTGATGTCTTGTAAAAGGCACAAGTTACTTAACCTCAAGTAAGTAATATCAGCATTAATAATCTCTCTTTCTTTCTATTAGAAGCTGACAAATTTGGCCTACCTCTACTTAGGACATAACGCACTGGAATCTGTTCCCCTTAACTTACCGGAAAGTCTGCGTATTCTTCACCTTCAGGTATTTTTTAAGTAATTCCTTAACATTCTGTTACTAAGAGCCTCATTAGTTACATACTTCAAACCAAACCCACAGTCTTTTAAAACAGTTCAGATTGCAGTTGTGGTACAGTTGTCTAATGCACCTCCAAATAAAACAATTTACCTCTAATCTGTATGGCCACAACCATTTGGTGTTCAGAAGTTTTTTGTAAGCTAGTTACCGTGCAAGAATTTCTCATTACTTTCTGTATATCAAGGATAGGAATTGGCAAAAATAAGCAATAATCTTTTAATCAACAATACATTTCAAACACTAATAACCACCTCAAACTGCTTATCAGCTCATTGATTGGTTTGAAGAGACTTGATTCCTACATATCTACAGTATACACAAATCAATCCCAATTACAAAAAAATGGGAGGGTAAGAGGAATAAAAGTGAAGTTTGAAAATTCTTCAACATATATGGGGGTGTGTGTATATATGTGTGTGTTTATTTATTTATAAAAATTGTTTTATTTTGCAGTACAACAATATTACTACAATCACCGATGACACATTCTGCAAATCTAATAACACACGTTACATCCGCACACGTATGGATGAGATAAGGATGGAAGGCAATCCGATCCTCTTGGCAAAGCATGTTAATGCTTTTTCCTGCTTGAGAACACTGCCTGTAGGAACATACTACTAGCCACCACTTACGTAATTATACATGCCAAAACTTAAACATGGTAACAGATCATTCTTTTTCCTCTGTTTACACATTTCTATCCTCTCCTTACTAATGCCATTTTTCCTGCAGACCCAGAACCTTTTACTATGTTGAAATGTGGTTCTCCTCTGAAATAACTATTTCAACACAGCCACTTTATTTAGTAGTTACAATGTCACCCATGCTTTCAGAATCTTTTCTGTTAATGAAAGTGTAAAGTGTAAAAATACATATACACACACACTTACCTTCTCATCTTTTATTTGACCACATATTCTTTACGTGTAGGTAAAAATCACACAAGTAACTGCTTGTTCACATTCTTCACCAGTACCCAGAATAATCACTACATTTTACTTTCAGATAAATGCAAAACATTCTTTCAGCAAGCTACAGAGGAAAAATACATCTTAATTCCAATCCCATTTTTTTAATCTGAAATGAAACTTTTCCAGCTGACCTTCAAAAGTGCATTGGATGAAGTTACATACAAAAGGAAAGTTATGTTTAGAAATAGAACTTCTCAAAGTTTAACTGCATTAAATCTTCCTTAAAAACTTGGTTTGTGGAAAATGAGAGTAATTCCTATTTAGGCTTACTGTACAAAGCAACATAGCACGTGGAACTTCTCAAAGATGTGTTAAATCTCCTTCTACTATAGCTATCACAATAATCTAGGAGTGTGTGTGTATATATTATATATCTATTTTATTTTTACACAAGTTATTTTTAATTGAAATATATGAATTTTGCTCAGCTGTACTCACAAGAGTTATTTTTGCAACACCAGGTTCTCATTTGAATACAATGGTCAAAGTACAGCATAATATGACTCCAAGTACCTTTGCTATTAACAGATGATGTAGACCAAGCCTTCTTCCACTGATTTTTCTTGACAAGGAAATGTGTGACAATATAATTAACAGCAAAGCTGAATTAATGTTTTTACCTGTAAATAAGTAAGATTTCAGCTAGATGTCAGTGCAAAGATGATGTACCCTTGTACAACAATACTTTCGCTCATTAGGGAAAAATCAAATCAGATCTTTAAATTAAAAAGAAAAGTTGATTCTATCATTAATCTAAAAATAGTGTTAACTTCAAGCAAATTAAACTGGCATCATTTCACTCAACCACTTTAAGCCGTGCAGCATAGTAGCAACACAAATTAATGTGTGCAGGCCTCAACAGTCAGTTCACCTAAAACTAGACATAACTGATACAGGATGCAATGTTTTTAATTACACAACTATACATTTCTGACATTTCATTTTCAGTTTCTCCCCTGGAATACCTACTGCTGGCGTAAACTCCTCAGATAAATGAATGCCAAAAGTGTGCTAGTTACCATTACCAGATCGACTTCATACTAATTTTGAAGTTAGAATAGATTCCTAATTTGTAGAAATAGTTAAGTATCAAATGCATGATGATATATCACTACATCTAGAATACTGATTTTACAAGATATTTTGTATTAGTTTTATTTATCTTATTTAGCTAAGCCTTGATTTGTTAGTGCTTGTGCTATGGGGAATTAAGTGCACACTTAATTCTGAACATACTGATGCTCTGCCACTAAGTGTTGAGACCCAACTGACTTTCAGTCACTTTTTAAGTAACTATGTCAAGCATCAGCTGTGAGCTCATCTTTCTGGAAAGAGGATGCAGTTCTGAAATGCAGGACAAAAATATTTTTGCCCTGAACCCATTACCCAAGAAGGACATAGCAATCCCCAATATTTTCCATTTTAAGTTATTTGGTGTAACAAGAAAGAAATTCCATTGTCTAATACAACTGAGAAAAAACCAAGCCCAACAGTGAGAATAATACTTGGTTTTCATTTTCTCGTGTAAGTCATAAAACTTTGATGTTCCCAGGTTTTTAGCAAAAGGTAAAAAATAACCCCAAAGCATGTAAAAATACATTCCAACTTCAAGCCAAATTTATACTAGGAAAAAATAAAAGCCACCAATTTTCTGAATCCTCTTTTGACAAATGCCTAAGATGGAGAAAACACAGCTGGAAGTCTAAGTGTAGTAACATTACATAAGCAGCGGCCTCTGATCTTATTCTCATCACAAATCTTTATTACTAAATAAAGCTCTTTCCAGTATTAATAGGATCAGTAAATATCACCAACACTCTTCCTATGAAAACAATTATGTGTATACACAAATATATGCACATTTATGTAATACATACATGTAAACATTCTAAGACCTAACCACTAGCACATTATTAATTTTACATTAAAATGTTGTACATATTTTTGAAAAAGTACTAAATATGAAGAGTAACACTAATTAATGCTCTTAATATTTTGTGAGCAAACCAAAGTAGATAACTTGTACCTTCTGAACGCCTCATGCAGGCAATAATTTACTCTGATATGTTTTAATTTACTTCCTCGTTTATAGCAAATTAATCCATCAAAACACTAAGTGAGAAGGGCTTCAGCATGCAGGATATTTTGCCTTCTATTTGTGTGACCAGTACTAATATCAAGCTGAATGTACACCATTCTTTTTTTTTTCCTATCACTCATCTCTGTTCTGTATTTCCAATAAAACTTGAATTTCTTTTCTTGTTTATCAATATGCACTTTGACAATCTGCTCTTCCAGCAATGCCAACATGCTTCAGTTGTTTAGCCTCATAGCAGACTAAAGGTGCACCTAAATCAGAAAATTATTTGCAGTTGTAAATCCATTTTGCAGACATAATATTTATTGTGGCAATACAGTAAGAGCTGCCATACAAGTAATGCCATACAAAACACTTGTGGGACATTTTGCTCACCTCTTCAAAAATCTATTTAAAGCACTACCTTGCAGATTTTTTCAGTAGAATAGAGGAGCAGCAGCAGAAGGTAGTAACGGTACGCTCAACTCTTGATTTTGTGTGTGTGTGAAGCATGCAAGTTGTAGACTAACCTGTTTCAGTAAAATGCTGCAACTGCTGAAGCACAATGTCAAGGAGTATATAATGCAGAGCACAAAATGCTTACAGCTGAACATTGCTCTACTCACACCAACCTAAATTTGCCCCTGCTTTCTTGGAAAGCCTGCTTACAGTCAAATCAATGTGTATTTTAAATTGCTTTTTTTGCATAATCCAAGTTATCCATCCCACCATTACTGTTGTTAACTGGGAAAACTCTCACTACAAAACTGCTATTTGTGACAGTCAACTTTTTAGAAACACAGTGCTGTCCAGCTTTGCTTGAAACTTGCAATTGTCATTCATCTCAAACATTCATTATTATTTGAAGTATTCAATCACTTCTACATTATTCCTTTCAAGTACCAAAACAAACAGAAAAGAAAAAATAATCTACCTTTCCCTGTTCTTACACTACCCTGTAAGAAAACCATTAGAAGCACTGTCTATTTCTATATTAACAGCCTTGGTAATTTTCTTTTAAATAACAAAATATTACAAAAATTATAAACCCAAAACCCCACCCCAAATAGTCTTCTCTCCAATACTGTGCATGGTTACTTGCCTATATACTTGAAGTCTAGCAAGCAGGTAGGAAAAAAAAAAATATAGAAAGATTACAGACTCATTTTTTAATGCTGTCCCTGTGTGAATATTAACAGGATAAGACTCTTCAGTTGTTTTTATGCATATGTTAAAAGCATACTTCTACTTGCTTTCACACAAATTACTACAGAATATTAAGCTACAAATATACATTCTCCTCAGCAATCTGGTTATTTGAATTGTCAGATTTCATCTTTGAACGCTTTATTAATTGAACACTTTAATTAATTCTCTTAAACCTCAGAAAGTCTTCTATTTCTAAATGAAATCATTACTAATGCTAGCAGAAATAAGAAGGCCTAAAAACCTCTTCCTAAGCACATTGTGAATCATACGTGATAAATATTCTCCCAAATTGATTTGCCTTTCTCAACAGCATCTTTGTCCATGGAAAGAAAAATACCTTTAGAAAGGATATTTGTAATATCAACAAACTTGTAATATATGTCTTCAGTGAACTTATTTTCACACACCTTTTAGCAATAAATATATCCCTTCATTGTTTATACTCAATGTCTCAACAAATACTTTTCATAACTGCACACAAGATACACACAACAATTTTAAAATAATATCCAGAACTACCTCCTTTCTATTTTTTCTTTTTTGTACTGAATTTTAAAATGAGAAATATTTACAACAGTTCACTGAATCACTGTCCCAGAAATCACAGTGACTGCTGTCATGAGACTGATCTAAGGATCAGAAGGCATCAAGTGAAGTTGGAAAAAAAAACAATCAAAAAACCCTACACCACAAGCCATAACGCCCTTGGTGCTCTACCTTCTTTATGGAAGGATTAAAGAAAAGTCCTTATACAACAACCAGCAGGATTAAACAACATCAGTTTATTACTCGGCTGAGGACAGGTTTTGATATTATTTTTTTTTTAACATTATCAGAAATTAGCACTTTTTCTTTAATCTGGTTGATTTGATAATAGAAATTGATTAATCTAGCACAGAACTCAGAAAGGCCTAGAAGTTTCAAAAAGTAGGAAACAAAACAGTTCCCACTTCATACTACAGCTGAAAAGCAAAGATGGTGCCAACTTTAATGACAGTAAATGTTTGAGCTAAATAAAACTGAACTAAAAAACCCACACACAATTAAGCAGCTAAACATCTTCCTCCAGCATTAAGCATCATATAAGACATTCTGTGTCTGTAAGACTGCAGTATTTTTACTCCAAGGATTAGTTGTTTATCTTAAAGCCAGTACAAAGACAAAGCAAACAAGCCAAATAATGGTAATTTAAAAGTTCAAATGCTATGTTCCAGTTAAGAGTGAGAACAGTTTGTTTCCCATTCAAGTAAAACACTTCAGAACTGAAAGTGCTGTCGCCCAAACACATGCTGCCACATTTTCAAGAGACAGATCCAGTCCTTCAGAACATTTAAATGCCAAAGACTACAAATGTTATTTTCCTTTAATTTCTTCTTTTACCCTTTTTTTTTCCAAAATGAAATGTAATATCGATGAAAAACTGTCTTACCGCCCCACAGAAAGGCACAGATTTTCTTATTTCCCCCCACGTAAGAGGAACACAGCAATAGCATGGTAAAAATCAAGACAAATACCAAGCAAGGGCATTGCCCCTTGAACACAACACAAAAATCTTTAGCTAATACTCTCTTCTCCACAACATAAAAAATTAGGATTCCCACACTTCACTAAAGAGTGCTAGTTTGACCTCTATTTCTCTGTCTTAATGAACCACTTAAAGAACTAAATATAGTACTGATATATAAAGGCTTGATAGACACTACCTTGAAATGTAGGAAGGTGCACCTACGATGTTCATACCACTCAGCATAAGATGAAAGGCTTCTGAAAAATCTTAAGAGATTTCCATGTTCTTCAGTACTAGAAAAGAAAAATATATTAACACAAACAGTACTAGTCAGACGTACCAATTCTATAGCCTAAAACATGTGCTTTTTCCTTACAGAATTTGTGATTAGTGTTGTTCAAATTTGAAGCCAGAAATCACCCCCCAACAAATTATCACAACAGGAAAAAAGCTGCAGTGTAGATATTGAAAAAAATTGAAGAATTCATTTATAAACCAGTGTTTTCAACTCCTCAGGAAGGCAAGCATCAATAGTCTTAAATGTAAAATGTGGTAACTTGACAAAGTAGTCGCCTGTAAAATCTTAGTTTGACTTTATGCTTGTTCATCTAATACTCATTTTCTAAATAAATTCCAAGATGTTGCATAGTAAAACTTGAACCTACAAAACCTAATTGCATCACTAAGCTTTGAATATTCCTGAGATCTTTGTTCTCGTCAATTAAATCTTTACGTGACACATTATCTGCTTCTGCCCACGTAGAATCATAGAATCATTTAGGTTGGAAAAGACCTTTAAGATCATCAAGTCCAACCGTCAATGCAATACCACCATGCCCACTAAACCATGTCCTGAACTGCCTTGTCTACGCATTTCTTGAATACCTGCAGGGATGGTGACTAAGCCACTGCCCTGGGCAGCCTGTTCCAATGCCT